TCTAACCTCCCAGCTCTTTGGTCTATGAGAAATTTATTGTGGGCTTTTGTTGTTGTTTTTAGAAGCTGGGGGTGAGAGAAATAGAATGAGGACAAGAAAAGGGAGTGTAAATCTAAGTCACACAGTCTTGTGAGAACTGTGAAGGAGGCCTGCACTTTACTGAGTATTGTGTCGTGCTGGGGATCTCCTGGGGGTTACCCTTAATACCTGGGGGAATATTCTGTAGAGGTTATACTTATATGTGTGTGTGTGTGTGTGTGTGTTTTCTTAAGTTTTCGCGGGTACTTACATGTATGGTATTCAGCTTTGTTCTGGTATTTTCCCACGTCATTGTAGTTGTGCTTTTAAAGTTGTAGCAACGTTTCGGCAGAATCTCATCTGCCATCATCAGGCTTCTGTATTGTGTCCGTCTGTGAGTCAGGCCCACACAGTTGTTTCAGTTTTAAATTTGGGGCAGCCTATTGCTGTGCCAGAATGGTTTTTTCTTCATCCTGATTGGTTGGGAATCTTGGTCTGTGTTTATTGGTCTTGGAGTTTGCTGTGTTGTGCTTGATTGGTGTTTCTAATATCTTCTGTCTGTTTTGTGGCTCTTTTGCGTGTGCAATTCCCTCTTGCGTGCAGCATGTCTGCACATGCACGTGCGATTTCCCCCCTCACGCGCCACACGTTTTTGTGCATGCGTGTGCAATTCCCCCTCGTGCGCAGCACGTCTGCACATGCGTGCATGATCCCCTCACGCACAGTGCATGCGCATCTCCTGTGCACCCCCTCTGCCCCCCTGCACATGCATGCCAGATACCAGACAATCAGCTGTTGAGTGGTGGCGCATCTGCATGCACAGTGGGGCTCTTCCGGGCGACCTCTCGCGTGCCAGTGGAAATGGTTCTGCGTGCCACTTCTGGCACACGTGGCATAGGTTCACCAACATGGGTTTATGACAATTCACCACGGCCAACACAGTGCAGGAAAACTCGTTCCGGGATAAGAGTTACACAAATTTCAAAGAAATGGTTGGAACATCATTAAAGAAAGGGTGCAAAAGGAAGGCCAGAGTGAAATGCGAATGGCAAAAATTAAAATAAATCATTAAATAGAATCGTTAAATTGTCCCATGGTGAGTTTTTCTGCAGAGAGTTGGCCGTGGGTGACTTTGGCTGGGGCAAGTTGTCCCATTCTGAAATGTTGAACTGTTGCTTCCGTTTGCTTTGCCCTTCTGTGCCAACCCCTACCTGGACGCCTGGGATTTTCATAAAACAACAGCTTGGTTTTACAAAGAAACTGGAAAAAGCACTTTTCCTGCCAAGGTGGAAGAGATGAAGGGCTGTTCTTTTGTTATAAGTGCCGCTCCAGCCAGCTGAGTAAGTTGGCAGTTCTCAGGAGTGGGCTTGCAGCCACCGAAGCACACCGGTGTTTCTGGGCCCCCCCTCCCCCCCCCCCCCCCCCCCGGCTTTTCCGGCCCCCCCCCCCCCCCCCCCCCCGTGTTCCTTTCGTGCATCTGTCCCCATCAAAATCACACAAGTGGAGAATTACCCCCAAGGCCAAATCAAGTCTGTTTAGTCCTTTTGAGGCAGACCTGAAAGGGCTTGAAAGGTATTCGGCCTGCCAGGAATAGCAAAAGTGGTCTTTGCCGGCGTCTAATATCTCTTTAAAGGGATGCGTCGGCTCAGCGGCTAAGACATTGAGCTCATTGATCAGAAAGGTCGGCAGTTCGGCGGTTCGAATCCCTAGCGCCGTGTAACGGAGTGAGCTCCCGTTACTTGTCCCAGCTTCGGCCAACCTAGCAGTTCAAAAGCACGTAAAAAATGCAAGTAGGAAAATAGGGATCCCTTTGGTGGGAAGGTAACAGCGTTCCGTGCTCCTCCGGCATTTAGTCATGCCAGCCACATGACCACGGAGACGTCTTCAGACAATGCTGACTCTTGGGCTTTGTAATGGAGATGAGCACTGCCTCCTAGAGTCGGAAACCACTAGCATGTATGTGCGAGGGGAATCTTTACCTTTGATATCTCTTTTTTTGTTCATTTGTTTGGTGCCTTTGTCAGTTTTTTTTTTTTATTCCTGACAACTGCATGGTTCTTGCAGTTTTCTTGGCAAAATTTCAGAGGTGGATTGCCACTGTCTCCCCCTTCCTAGGGCTGAGAGAGAGAAACTGGCCCAAAGTCACCCAGCTGGGTTCCTGCCTAAGGTGGGACCAGAACTTACAGTCTCCTGGTGATTGGCCCAGGATCACACAGCTGCCTTGCATCCTTAAACTAGAACTCACAGTCTCCTGGTGATTGGCCCAGGATCACGCAGCTGCCTTGCATGCTTAAAGTGGGCCTAGAACTCCCAGTCTCCTGGTTTCTAGCCTGCTATGCCCAACACACAGCAAATTGTCTTTCATCTACTACCACTAATAGAAGGAATTTTCCTTTTATATTATCATGCTGCAATTTCTTGTGCTATAAATGTAAACAACAAAAACTTTTACACTTACCTTCTCTTTACGAAAGCTTATTTTGTCTATATCTAGATAATGGATATGTTCATCTATATTAGAGCATCTCAGTGAATTGATCTTCCAATAGTATTTGTTTTTATGACTATGAGCCTTTGGAAACTATTACTGCTAAACCTTCTGTATTGTACTCTATATTGGGATATAAGGAAGTGTGCTGGCTGGGGAATTGTGGCAGTTGAAGTCCACAAGTCTTAAAGATGTTAAGTTGTCCATCCCTGATATGGGCCCACTACTACAAAGATTCCTAAGGAGAAATGGTTTATTCTATGTTACTTGTTCTCTTTCAAATGAAAGTCTGAATATAATTAAAACACTTTTTCCATATCACTCTCTGCAAAAGCTTATCCTTGTGCTGTGATTTTATTAACCTGAATCAAGCCAATTTTGTTCATTTAAAATTGGCTTGCACAATGGATTTTACAGCACTGTCTTGCATTTTTTAAAAAATGTATGTATGTATGTATGTATATGTATGTATGTATGTATGGCAGAGATCTCATTCTCATGGCTCGCGAGCCAATTGCGGCCCGCAGGACGATATCCTGTGGCCCCCACCGTGATATGAAAGTATAATATTAGTGTATAATATAAATATAAAGAATAATATTATGCGGCCCAGCCTCACCCAGACTCTGCCTCCAGCGGCCCCCAGGTAAATTGTGTTTGGGACCCCTGATGTATGGTATTCAGCTTTGTTCGGGTATTTTCCCACGTCATTATAGTTGTGCTTTTAAAGTTGTAGCAATGTTTCGGCAGAATCTCATCTGCCATCATCATGTGTTTGTCTGTGTTTGTTTTAAGAAAACAAATATGTATGTATGTATGTGTGTGTGTGTGTGTGTGTATGTATATCTCATCTGCCATCATCATGTGTTCGTCTGTGTTTGTTTAAGAATATATATATATATATATATATGTGTGTGTGTGTGTATATATATATATATATATAAAATGTCCAGAGGTTAAAAGACAAATTGAAAAACGAAGAGAAAAAAAACGTGCAAGGGATGAAAAAGAAAGAATATATAAAGGACTTCCAACCTTCTTTTCAACAATTACACTTTTACTGCCCTCCCTCTCTGTTCGATGTTATTATACAAAGCCCTTTCAGCTTCTTTCCTGCATTCACATCTTTCTTGGTTTTCAAATTTTCATGTTTACACAAATTAATCTTCTAAGTTTTATTTCAAAACGTCTGTACAGGTAGTCCTTGACTTGCAACCATTCATGTAGTGACAGTTCAAAGATACCACAGGATTGAAAAAATGTGACTTACCACCAGGGGTGGGATTCCTAAATCCCAGCAACGCCTGGTTGCTGGGTGGGCGTGGCCTACTAGAAGTTCGGGGAGGACCGTTTTTCACCTTCCCCAGGCTCTGGAGGCTTCCCTCTGGCCTCTGGGAGAGCAAAAACGGCCTCCTCGGGGCTCCATAGACCCTCCAGAAGCCAGAAACAGGCCCGTTTCCAAACTTCCATTTTTCGCCCTCCCAGAAGAGCCTCTGCACAGACCCTGCGTGTACCTGCATCTGAAATGGGCTGTGTGGAGACTCCTGGGAGAGGATTGGGGCAGGGTGGGCGGGGCCAGCCATTTGGTTCAGCTACCGGTTTGGTGAACCAGATGTAAATTTAACATCTGATTCACCTGAACTGGCCTGAACCGGCTGAATCCCACCCCTGCTTACGACCGTCTTTCATACTTACAACCATTGTAGCACCCCCATGTTCATGTCATCAAAATTCAAGTGCTTGGCAACTGGTATGTACTTACGACGGTTGCAGTGTCCTGGGGTCATGGGATCACCATTTGTAACCTTCCCAGGTGTGGCTTCTTACACAAGCAACAAGGTCAAAATTTTGGGAAGCTGGATTGGCTTAAAAACAACTGCAGTGATTCACTTAACAACTGTGGCAAATAAAGTTGTAAAATGGATCGAAACTCACTTAGCAATGCTTAACAATGAAAATTTGGGGCTCAATTGTGCTAGTAAATCGAAGGCTGTCTTCAAAAATGATGTTTTTTCCTGACCCAGTAGTTCACAGAATTTGCTATTTCTGTCAATTCTGACATATTCATAATTCTGACATATTCATAATTCATTCCTCTGTTTGGGGGATTCCGTTATTCTTCCATCAAGATTTGACTGCATTGCATTTTAATTGTAGGTTTTGAGTGGCTGTAATAACATTTGCTGTTTTCAGTAACTAGATTCCTGAGCATTACGATGTAGCAATGGCTCTTTGGTTGTATAGTGGATTCCCTTCCTGGGTTTTTCCACAGGATCACAGTAAATCCACCCTGAGTCCTTGGGTTATTTGTGAGGGGGGGAGAGAGTCATTCTCACTCATCCCAACCCACCTCACAGGGTTGTTGTGCAGCAAAATGGGAAGGCTGTGGGACATAGCTCTAAAAACAATAATAATGTTGAAAAATTCCTTCCAAACGGCACCTTTGAGGTTAATCTGTAATTACAATCCGTTTTTCTTCTCTTGCTTTTTGCAGATTTTGGAGTAAGTGCACAATGGCCAGAGAAAGTCCCATTTGATAAGTGATGGGTGGAAATTACATGATTGAATCAGAAAGAATGATGCGGAGATGGAACAGTGCATGAGAGCTGGGTTAGATTGCCATTTTGTCTTCATACTCTTTCTGTTCCCCAGTTCTTTAGGTTCAAGTAAGCATTTGCATTATTTATGTGTTGATTTATGTATTCATTAGATTTTTATCTTGTCTTTATTTATTTGCTTTTCACATTTCTGAACTGCCCATCTCCCTCAGAGAGATTATTATTTAATTACGTATTACTTCATAACTGACTCCAGGCTGCAAACCTATATAATGAAGGTAATTCTTGACTTCAATCATTCATTTAGTGACCATTGGAAGCTACAACAGCATTTTAAAAGGGGACTTATGACTGATCCATGCACTTAAGAACTGTTGCAGCATTCCCACAGTCATGTGATGAAAAGTTTCGGCTTGGCAGCGGACATGTTTTTTTCTAAAGGTGTTCCAAGATAAATGAATCAGTGGCTGCTTCTAGTTAGATAAAGGTCTGCTTGTTCCTCTGCTTTTGATGAAGCAATTCCAAGAAAACAGAGTTCTCTTTACTGAAAGCTTGAAGAACCATTTAAATAATGGCGTTTTAACTTTTCCCAATAATAACCTGTGTCTGGTTTTGGAGATGTTTCCTTATCTAAACAAAGAAACAATGACCAAAGCAAGTGACTTCCAACTTCCTGCTGGCTTCCCCACTGATTCTTCGTGGGAAATCCTTTCCTCTTTTCTCCTCTCCTTCCCTCTCCCCCCCACCTTCTCTCCTCTCCTCTCCCATCTCCTACCCTCTCCTTCCCAGCAGTCAGTTAAGTGGCTTCTACTGGGTAGATTGAGTGAGTGGGGGATTGCAAGATTGACTGGGAAACTGCCAGAGAATGTTGAAAATGTAAATCACATAATTGCAGCATGCACTGAAGCGGCAGTGGCCGCTTTGTGATTTGGAATGGTCACTAAATGAACTTGTCAGTTGAGGACTTCCTGCATCCTCATCCAAGAGGATGTTTTTTTAAAAAAAACAACAACACCAAAACATTGTGAAATTTCTATAGCGATTTGTGGAAGGAACAGTTTAAAATAGTTTTTTGCATCCTCTGTGCCTTTGTCCTTCCCTGGGATGTCCTCCTATCCTGAAAGAACATACCAAAAGCCCTTGACTTTGTATTTTGGTCCCTTCATTTCCACACATTCATTAATTCCTTCCAGTGGTCGTGGCTGACATCATCGCAGTAGTAGTAGTAGTAGTAGTGATATATATGTGATGCATGAGAACTATTCTGCCATTGGAAAGGACTCTCGGTATGAATAGCAGAAAACCCAGCCTTTTTTTCAGTCTCCCTGGTGGCTGCTGCATTTGGTGCTTCCCCTCGCTGGAAGTGTCATTATTCAAATATCCAGCTTAGGCTTGTTACCTTTTTGCAAATTTGAGGCAGCCAAAGAAAGGGGCTTTCCAGCCAAATTGTTTGTTCTTAGTAAGCTAGCCTTTAAATATACACCTTGCGGGTTAAAAATGTGAACTGCGAGTACAGCCAGTTTTTTACACTTAACGGCCGTTGCAGCATTCCCCAGGGTCACATGATCAAAATTGCTCAAAGATGCTTGGCCATTGTCTCCTATTTATGACCATTGCAGGGTCCCAGGTTCATGTAATCACATTTTGCGACCTTCTGAGTCAACGGGGAAGCCACTAAGTTAACAACTGCAGTGATTCACTACAAGAAAGGTCATAAGATGGGGGAAATTTACTTAACTGTCTCATTTAGCAGCATAAGTTTTGGGCTCAATAGTGGTCATAGGTTGAGGACTACCCGTATGCTCTCACTGTATGATCCGTGCTACTTGACAAACGTATACTGAGGCATTCTTCCCAGGGTCCAAAACAGGAGTCCCCAAATTTGGGAACTTTATGACTTGTGGACTTCAACTCCCAGAATTCTTCAGCCAGCCACGCTAGCTGGGGAATTGTGGGAGTTGAAGTCCACCAGTCTTCCAAGTTACCATTTTTGGAGACCCACCGGATCTACAATGAAAGTTACTTCCAATAGCCTTTAGGGAGGACAGCTTAGAAACATCAGAAAAACTGGAGATTTACCTGGAAGAGGAGGTGTATTCCCACACTTTGGCCCATTGGGAAAAAAATGGAAAGAATAATCGTAAGTTTTTCTAGGCTCCAGATTTAAGGCCTTTCACGTGTATTGGTTAGATTTCCAGAGGAACAGGTATATATTCTGGACTGCATCCAAATCAGTAATTAATCAGTGATTAGAGCCAACCTGGTGTCCACCAGATGTTGGGGACATAGCTCTACAGTTCTCTCTCAATTGAATGTAATATAATATTCCACGTAGCTGATGAAATTGACAGGATTACAAACCTGATACCTTCAGATATTTTCAGCTACAGTTCTTCTGAGCCAACAGTGTCCAGTGATTGAAGCTTGTCATATCTTAAGTATATCTGGTTGCTTTATCACAAGAGGTCCTTTTATCTCTTGCCACCAATATTTGTTAACTTCTTCTGATTCCCTTTCCTCATAAATATCAGATTCTGGAGTCAAAGCAAGAGATTTCAGAGCATTTGAGTTTCTCTGCAACGTCAGTGTTTTCCTCTAATCCTCCTTTTATTTTGTCATGGAACCCAAGTTAATAAATTCACACCTCTTGATACTTTTATTCAGCAATTTCACACCGCAGCCACTTTCTGAAAATCCCTAGTATGGTGGCATCCATTTAAGACCAATTGTTGATTGATCAATTGGATTTAAAGTGTTTTGAACTCGGCTGCAGCCATAAAATCTTCTGAAGCAATCAATTATAAAATGGCAGCCTGTGTTAACAGGTTTTCAATTTAAGGAGAGAAAAGAAAGAGGGTCTCAGAAAAAAAGAGAACTTGCACCAGTAAATTAAATATTAATAATTTTTAACAATTCACGGAAAGGAGTGAGAGATAGAGATACCAAGACCATGTTGGAGCTAAATGACTGCAGAAGACAGACTGTTGGTTTCTTAGTCTTGCCAATCAAATATTAACTGTTTGTCCTTTTCTGAGAAACTGGACATTTATTCTGTGTGTGATGCAAACAGATATTTCTGCTGGATGATAAAATATGCAGCATTAGAAAATGAGTGAGTTAAAACAAAATCAGAGACATAGTGGTCTAGAGACAGAGTTAGAATCAGAGTTAAGTCACAAGATCCTGGTAACCTGTTCCATTTTCTTTTAAATGGGGGATCTTTGTTTCTTTTCTTCTTTTTTGTTTTTTTGAAAACAATTTTATTGATTTTTAAAAACAAACAAAACAGACAAAACATAAAAACATCCAACTTTCTTTCATAAATATACAAACAGTGTATCGGTTGGTTTACCAATTTTTTGTGCATCCATTTCGTGGTCGCAATTACAATTACATTACATAATATCTCATGTTGTCAATCAAAAATTATATACCCTAATATCACTATTAAACAATCATTTGACCATGATTTTATTCATTCATACTTTACAAGATAACTATAGTTTTCTTAGTTTATTTTATAACAAATCATATAGTCATACCAAATCTATCCTAATAACATTTTATAAATATAATATCAAAAAAGAAAAGAAATAAATCTTTATATATTCGTTATTTTCTAAAATTCTAAATATTCTATTATTGTATTTTATTATCTAACCATTGGTAGAAAAGGTCCCAAATTTTATAGAATTGTTTATCCTCTTGTTCTCTAATTTCAAATGTCAATCTACTCATTTCAGCACATTCCAATATTTTCTTAATAATTTCTTCCTGCAATGGTATTTTCTCATTTTTCCAGTTTTTAGCAAATACAATCCTAGCCGCTGTTAATACATTTACAATCAGGTATTTCAAATCTTTACTATAGGTATCAGGTAAGATTCCCAATAAAAAGATCTCTGGTTTCAAGTCTATGTGTTTCTTTGTCATTTTTTCCAACCACATGCGAATTTTAGTCCAGTATTTTCTTTTCTTCTTTTTAACAGGCAAAATTTACCAGTGCAATGAAGATCAGCATTTTGCAGGTCAAATCCAAACCAGTAATCTACACATTAGGAACCTAGAAGGAGCAACTTTCAAGCGCCAAGGATGACTACTAGATTCCTGAACGCAAAGCAGTTTGCGAGCACATTAATTATAACAATTACTACAATAAAGCATATAATGAATATTGAATGTTCTGGTGCCTTTTATGTGAATGTTGCATATTGCCTAACTGTTCCTTTGCTGAACAAAAACCAGGTTGATGAATAGGTTCACAGCTAATGAGTAGGATGATGAGGTGGAGATGGCGGTATCTTTATTAGTGCCCAACACATTCTCAGTTCCGTGTAAGTATGATTTAGTGTTTAGAGTTCCCTCACATCTAGGGATCTCAGATCTAGGTCAGTGGGCCCCATACATATTCTAAAAAAAAATCAACTGTATGGATAATAGCAACCCAGTTCTTTGAAAATAACAGAATAACTGAGTTGGATGGGACCTTGGAGGTCTTCTAGTCCAACCCCCTGCTCAGACAGGAAACCCTATATCATTTCAGAAAAATGGTTGTCCAATCTCTTCTTAAAACCTCCAGTGTTGTAGCATCCACAACTTCTGGAGGCAAACTGTTCCAGTAATTAATTCTCATTGTTAGGAAATTTCTCCTTAGTTCTAGGTTGGTTCTCTCCTTGATTAGTTCCCATCCATTGCTGCTTGTTCTGCCTTCAGGGGCTTTGGAAAATAGGATGATTCCGTCTTCTTTGTGGAAGATATTGGAAGATTGCTGTCATGTCACACCTAGTCCGTATATTCACTGAACTAGACATGTCCAATTCCTGTAACCGTTTTCCAAAATATTTTGAAAGGGCGGGGTCTCCCTTGTCGAGAAATCATTGATAGCAAAGGCTACTCAGCATGGGAAACATCTCAAGTATAAAACTGGCGAGGAAAATAATTTTCATTTGTCTTCTATGAGATCTATGTCTCGTGATTGATCAAATTGAACAGTGGATCGGTAACCTCTTCCTGAACTTCTCTCAAGCCCAACAGCTTTGCAACTTTTGGTGATAACATCTGTGATGCGGTCACAGAATTTCAAGGGCATCCCCATTTGACCCCCAAGAGTTGCCTGCCCCTGTTTTCCAAGAAGATCTCTTCCATATATGCTTTATTTTTATTCATAAACATTTTGAATACAGTGTATTGTCAGGGCATATCATTTACAAAAAAGCAAAAAGAAAAGAAATATAAATATTAACATGTATACTAATAACAGTAATAATGGTGTAACAGAATAATTTTAACTAGATTTCTCTTATTTGTAATTCTGTTAATTATATCAACCTATTTATAATTGCAAGCCCTCTATGTTTAATTCATACATAACAATAATCTTTCCTCGCCTAATTTCTACCTCTTATCTCTAACCACTCGTAAAATCTATTCCACGTTAAGTAATATTCAGTGTCTTTTTTATCCTTTATTTTTAATGTCAATCCACCCGTCTCTGCACAGTCTAGTATTTTCCGAATTATGTCCTTATCTGATGGAATTGGATAAATGGCAAAAACTTTGGGACAAGAACTATAAACTGACAATGGCTACTGCATATAAAAAATGTTTTATAGGTGACATTTGCCACCAGCAAGATTAGCAAAAATATTCATCAACATGTCCACCAAATGTTGGAAATGTAATCAAACTCCAGGGACTTATTAACATATGTGGTGGACTAGTACGAAAGCAAGAAAATATTGGACAAAAACACATACATGGTTGGAAAAGGTGATTAAGAAACATATAAATCTGAAGGGGTCGCGGTGGCTCAGTGGCTAAGACGCTGAGCTTGTCCATCACAAAGGTCGGCAGTCAGTTCGAATCCCTAGCGCCGCGTAACGGAATGAGCTCCTGTTTACTTGTCCCAGCTTCTGCCAACCTAGCAGTTTGAAAGCATGTAAAAATGCAAGTAGAAAAATGGGGACCACTTTGGTGGGAAGGTAACAGAGTTCTGTGTGCCTTCGGGCGTTTAATCATGCCGGCCACACAACAACGGAGACGTCTTCGGACAGCGCTGGCTCTTCGGTTTTATAACAGAGATGAGCACCGCCCCCTAGAGCCGGAAACAACTAGCACATATGTGCAAAGAAAACCTTTACTTAGATCTGAAGCCAGAAATATTTATGTTGGGTATAATGCTATGATAAAGATACTGTATATTTAGTTTTGCATGTATTGAATGCTGCAAGGATTGTATTTGCACAATATTGGAAAAATGAGAACTCTCCATCAAGACGACCTCCTGTTAGAGGAAAGGAGCTCTTTGAAGGTGAACATCTCTTGCTCAGAGTTGCAGAGGTGATGGATCATGCATAGTGAGAATCCCACCTCTGCTTCAACCTGTCCTGTCAGAACATTGAGCCAATTTGGCACTTAAGACCTGCGTTATCCATCCGAACTGGAGAATCTTCGGACAGCTGTAGCACACGGGATATTTTGAAAAATAGGAGTGGAGAGATTTTAGTGGAGATCGGAGAAAGCAACCTTGGTGAACAGACCACACGTCCTTTCGTAGGAGATCTATCATTGGAGAGGGAAGCCAGATCTTTCCTAACATTTTTCGACTAGGTCTGAAAATATTACAGGAGCAGCTGAAGTCTTCCAGGATGTCATTGCCAAAATTAGTGACTTTTTTTTTATCCCATTCCTGCACAGCACATAAACAGGCCAGAAGATCTATTGAAGTCTTAAGTTTGCAGGATTGGCAAAATAAAGTTTTCAGACTTGAATTTCTTGAGCAGAAACAACACATTTTCTTCCTCCCTATAAGTAGGTTGCTGGGGGAAAAAATAAGCTCGGAGGAAAACGAGCAACAGATAAATAAGCAAAAGGAATTTGTGACCTTGGTAGGGGTGCTGCGATAGTCAGGACCCATGCTTGGGAGAATCAGAATAAACTGAATAAAATCAGAATAAAATCTTGCCATCCCAAGGTTGTGTAAATGTTATGTTCTCCTTTCCTTCCCCCTAGCACCTGATAGGATGGATGGGGCTGAGTAAATAAGAAGAAAGCATTTTAGGGCAGGTCAGACTGTCAAAATACTGTTTGCTCTGGAAAAGCAGTGATTTTGCAAGGTCCGAAACGGGGATATGAAAGCCTATGTAGGTATGGAGATTCCAGAATGATATGAGAGGTTGGCTGTAATGTAGTCCCAAAGGTGCTTTTTCAAAAGGCCAATGGGACTTTGTTTTTTTCTTTGAAGACATTTTGCTTCTCATCTATAAAGCTACTTCCGTTCTCTGGTTTCCAGAACTGGGGAAGCTTCTTGAATGAGAAGCGAAATGTCTTCAAAGAAAAGTCCCATGGCTTTTTGAAAACGCACCTTTGGGACAGTGGTGGGATTCAAAAACTTTTACTACTGGTTCTCTGGGCGTGGCTTGGTAGCGTGGCAGGGAAGGATACTACAATCTACCTTTTGGAGTACAGTTCCTGACTCAACATTCAAAAATTGGAAGCAGCCCTCAGACCAAACTGTTATGAAACTTCGATTTATCAACCATAAGGAGGTGATTGGAGAGTAGCTCAAACATTGGTTTTGGA